AGATACGTAAATAATAGCTCCATTTTTGGGGTATGGAAGCGTTTTCTTCTTTTAAAATCGTATTTATTGCCATGGAATCGTTCGGCATTCACCGGCTGTTCCGTGAGTAACAGAATTCGCCCAACGAAACCATTTAAGAGTGCGCAGTATGGGCGCGCGCTATTGAGCGAGTTCATGTATGAGTGTGTCCATAATGATTCAGCTCAAAAACTAGTGTGTGTAATTCCTTGTTCAATCACCCACTCCTTAAGAATCGCGACGACGAGCTGCTGAGAGTGTAATGCTGGAGTATAGCAAGCAATATACAGTCATCTACTGACTCCATTGCTAGATGGTGGTAAGTGGTTCGTTAACCGGTTTAAGTGAGAAGTACCGCTTCGATATCACAGCGGCCGTTTGATGTCGTCGTGACGGGTCGTTGACCTACACGTCCAGGGTTCAGCAGTAACAGATATTGGTAAGGCCACTAGTTCCTTGTCGCTAGAGTAAGTATTAGTTTGAGTATTGTGAAAAAAAACTAGCTGGGGGCAGTTCGGCGAGCAGGGGGGGGGCATTTCATACTTTTAATAGTTCCCATCGACGTGTTGACCCATCTAGAGAGGTACTTCGTGAGATAGACAAGAGTTCACAAGTTTCACCATCTTGGCTCGACAAGCTTACTCAGCTTTACAGTATTTCACAGGTCTACCCGGAGTGGTATTTGTGAACCGGAACTAGTCAAAAAAGTTATAATGCAAAATGCCCCACCCGCTCTCTGTCGCCGAACTGCGCCGTCTGGCTGGTTACTGTAAAATTAATGAGAAAGACAGTAGCTATGTTCATACCTCAAGGCAGTGTCTATTGTTGCGCTCGAAAAATGGAAACTCATTATTTCTTCAGTTGTCATTTGTCTCTAGGGTTGTGTAGGCTGTTGAGTAGATCAGTATCGGATGTTTCCCGACTTTTCAGGCTCAAGAAGGCGAATAAGCCAAATTGTAAGGCCAAGGTAAACTAATCTTGGAAGACTCAGCAGAGGTTGTTTGTGCTGACACTTCATGGCTTCAAATCCCATTTCCTCGAAAAAAGGTTATATTCGAAGACAAGTGTCACGTTAAGTCCCTAAAACCTGTAAAATTGATGTGCTCGCAGGAAAAATTCGGCGCCCCTCAACAGCGTTTTTCCAAGGAACGTCCTTATAGCTCTCCATCAAGCTGCAGCATACTGATTTGGACGCCCACTGCGCCCATTCACACGCCTACAAATGTCCAAACGATGCTGGTGCTCGTGTCGCTTCATTTGAGAAGTACAGTACGAACGAAGGGATTGATATGAAGCGGCTGCACTGCTGCATGAACTATGAGTACATACATGCAACCGTATCTACCGTAGCGTTATTGGCACGATGCCAACGGGGAACTCGTCCGAAATTGCTTTCTGAGTCGTGCAGAACGGACTTTTCTTCGCAGGTTTTTGACCGTTCCACATCGTGTTTTCTCCATTTTTCCTCTATACAGCACCCTACTAGCGTTTTAGGCCGAGTAGCAAATAATCGTGTCCCATGCTCAATACCAACCTAGTCCTGGTGCCAACCTGTCAGTCTCCTGTAATTTATTATGCATACGACGTCACACCCCTGTCGTAAGAAGTCTTGTTTGTTCTTTTAAAAGCTTTGCAAAAACGGTGAGGTGAGAATTCCCCTTTGTTCTGACAAAGTTCGCTGTGTCGCAAAACATTGGCGTTTGGAAATTTCCAGAATTCTCAAATTTCACAGTCAGTGATAAAAACGGTTTCAGTTTAGGGAATTCATTGGTTATGAATGACGCGATCTGTGGAAATTGCCTAAGTAATCGATAGTCCATCAAGGCATGCATCGTGGGTGCTACCATTACGGCACCCATTATGTGACTTTCTGTGGATCATTCTGTTTCTGTAAATTATAGGCGAAGGGAATGGGGTAACCAGTTTGATTTTTCTGCTCCCTGGAGACTCCATTCTTTCTCATATTGGTTGTTTTTGTATTGATATCGAAAATAGATCTGATTTCAAGTATAGGAGGTTTTTCAGTTAAGACCCTCTTAGACAGGGCATGTCGGTACGTCAGAAGCGCCAGTGAGAGGAAAGGGTCGTATTGGTCGCTGGGGGATCACGGATCGTAGTGAATTTTGAGAAAAATGTTTTTACTTCTTGACTTTTATTCCGGTTTCAACGGTGCTATATGTACCGCAAAGCTCTTCCCGCTTGACGATAGTTCTTTGAGCAAGAACTGGAGAATTTCTTCCGTAAAGGGGTAGAAAGTTGTGGAAAATAGGAAGATGGTGGATGGATGGGAAGGAGGGAGGGGGGAGGACTGAGAGAATGTCGTTTTTTGCAAAGATGTCCAATGGCAGGACGTGCTCTGCTGCCAGATTAGCGGTCAGAGCCAGTTCGTGTTATTCTGAAAATGGCGCCTTTCTCAACTCAGTATCACGAGTTTTCAGTGTCAAATGGTGGACGTCGGAAATTGACCCTGAAATGGTTTGCCATGTTTTTTTTTCTTCCTTTTCGGTCATAGTCTGTACCGTCTCACTGATAGAGTCCAATACTAAATCTGTATAGATATGGTGTGGGCATTTTGCATTTCGCTGCATTATTAGTTCAGGTTTACAAGTCTCGTTCCGGTGAAACCTGTGAACACTGGTGAGAGCTGGAGCAAGCTCGTCGAGCCACATGGTATAACCTGTCAACACCTGTAAGCTCATGAAATAGCTGCCTAGATGGGTCCACAGAAGTAACGAAGTACAAAATGCTCCCCCCTCGTCAAAGTGCCCTTAGGTTTTTTACGGCAACCGGTATGAATTTACCGTTGTCATCGGTAGCGATCGATTGAGTCGTTGTCCGTTTCACGATTATCACAGAGAGTAGGAGAGACCGATCGTCGCCGCCGCGGTACGGCGGCGGGGCGGCGTCGGCCTGTGTCGACGCGCGTCATTTACTACCGCATGTCATATGGTGGTGCTGGTGGTGGTAGGTTTTCATTGAATTCATTTAAAATAACTTCCTTAGTAATGAGTCGCTTCCCTGACCACTTTGGCATTCCACCCTGTTTCTCCTGCCAATGTCATCTCCACCTTTCTGACGTTTAACGTTCGCCCTAGGTCGTAAACCTGTCAGAATCGATTTTTCGAAAAGGTTCTGAGTTTGGATGAAGGTGTTCACAAAGGAATAACGGTTCTGCTACATTCCCAAGGTTTCCATCACTTGCACCTTTTCTGTTTCTGTAATCTTCAGAATTCATATAATTGAGGAGGGTTGACTTCTCAGTAGAGACGCCCAGACGCTTTATGTTGTGAACACCTACACTCACAGAATTTCGGGAAATTTTACTTAAACCTCAGATAAGTAGTTTTTGTGCCATTCGAGGCTATTAGAATTCATATGCAAACGTCTCGGCTTCCTCCCCTTCGTCAAAGCTCAGAATATAAAAAACGAACTTGAATTTGTCCCAAACGCTGTAATAGAAACCAGGACCATTTCGAGGTACCGGTAATCCACCTAGCGGTATCGATCGGTGAACCACCCGGCTTACCTTGATCTCCTCCGCGAGACCACCAAGGGTGTAGTAATGCTTTGAACCACTTCCTGCTCATCCATCCCTGACATATTCGAACCTGGGATGGGTGAACCGATTCGGCTGATCCCCTGGTTCACAGTTGTTTCTTATCTCCTTTCTGCCTCATATACTCTGCCAAATAATAGAAAAGGAAGTGTTGACGTGAAACTAGTCCCTTTCGCGGCTCTACAAGGTTTGGCAGACCTCCACGAAATGGCCCAGTATGTTGGCAGAATTTGCCCCCCCCCCACCCATACACTGGAGCAGAACTGATCCAAAATCATTGGCAAACTAGCGCTCCTTGTGTCTTCCATTTTTTTTTACCTAATTTGACAGCTGTTTGAGAAGTGCTGTAGTGGCATGTGGTCCGCTTATCACGCTCCCACTCGCGGGTCAAATCGCTGCTCGACTCCCTCCCAAGCCAGCCAGGCCTTTTACCCTCCGGGGGCGGTAAATTGATGCCAGCATCGTCTGAAAGCGTAAGTATACTGTTTCCTACGTCGGCTGGCTCTCGAAAGTCCTGTATAGGCAATAATCCATTCAATAAGCTATTACGTTTTCAAATGGAAGTAGAATACGTGGCGCATTCCAATATCGATGGCTCTATCCTTTACCCCCATTTTTATTTATGGCGTCACTAAGTAACAGTTGTCTGAGTTATGGTCAAAAGTCAAATCCGTGGAGGAACACGAACCCGCGCCTTTGCATTCTTGTGATAACGTTCGCATCGTGAATTGCGGTGTTAAACAGCAGTTATGCTGGAACTACTTCGATTAGCAGTTTTACTTCAAAATCAATCTCGTTTCTTGTAAAGTTGTTGGTGAAAATGAGAGGAAACATTTGCTTTGCTCTGAGTTCTTAAAACAGCTGACTTCTTTCAGTGCGGGTTGTTGTGTCAGATTTGATTACTGATTTAAAAATTTCGCTGATAATGTCACGTCCCAATTTGTGTAATGAATCTGAGGCTTTTCTATTCATCATTTCATTTTTCTGTCGTTGTTGAACAAAAACAGTCTTCGGGCGTAGTCCGGCCGCTTCTCAGCCATCCGCGCTGCTTTCATCACTCTTTTTATCAGTTTCTCGATATTTCGGCGTATCAGTCGCTCAGACACTCTGAGAAGTTCCGTTTCTCGAGTGGCTTCCGTTTTTATATGATGCATGTGATTCTCGCATATGATGATTCTCGTTCTAACGATGTTTCGCTTTTTACAACCGTCAATTCGCAGTACTGGAATGTTTCGTTTCGTTAGAAGTACTCTGGCACTTCTCCTCTGTTGAAAATTCCTCCTTTCAGAGTTTCCACCACAAGAAAACGCGGTACTGAAGTGCGTGGGAGGATAGCCCACGTGTGGAGCCGCTGCCTCTCTCTCTCACTTACTCTCGTTCACCTTCAAAAGAAGTGTTGATAACGTCGTGTGACGGGCGCCGAAAAATGGCTTCACCACGCTTCGACGGATCGCCTGAACAGGCAGCACTCGACGTACACAGGTTAGAGCTCGAACTGTACAGAAGTTGTTGGAAATTGAAAGATCGGCAATCCGTAGGCGTCCTTCCTTATTCAAGTACTAGTGTGAGTAAGTGATGAAGACGCTGCGACCCTCATAAATGGCCGATCTTTTCCCCTATTCACCTCTCCTACCAAAATTCAAAGGCTATTTTCTGTCACGAGCTCACTATTTGTACCTCGTTTTTCGTTTTTTTTTTCACTGTTAATGGTACTAGCATTGGATGATGCGATGAAAGATTAATCAGCCAGTGGCGGCAGGTCATCGCTTACTTGAAAAACATACAACAAGCAGGTGCGAACAACTCAACGGGAAAGTCTACCAGGACCTTACTTAGGGATTCCCCCATGATTTTTTTTGCTTTTTTCTCTTGGAAACTTATTTAGCGGCAATGGGTTCGATATGAGCCCGCTATCCATAGATGCAATCGCGTTTGTCGTGTAATTACTGCCTAATTTCGCTTGGCAACTCAGAAATCTTTGCCCATTCTTGTCAGAATATAATTTTCTTTGTTTCTAGTTTTTTATTGTTTAGAAGCCCATATAATCGAGTTTGTTGCTAATAACTTCGTATTTTGAAAAAATCGATATTACGGAATCACATTCGCAAACAACGATGGCGTCAATGCGAGTGCTGTGGTGGTGAGCGGCAGCCGCTGTTCAATACGATAGGCGTTAAAAGGGGCTATATTTATGATTTGTGATTATGCGCAACAAACGCGACGAGTTTTCATCGAATGGCTAGTTTCTTGAACTTTGATACTTTCTTTGGAATTAAAAAAAGGAAACACTTCATGATTCACTGTGAGTGTGGATGGGTTTTGATAAAGGTGGGGGGTGTCAGCGGCGAAAAGATACCAATAATATCACGAGACTGTTTTGGCGACAGGGCACCTCCTTTACCTAGGTAAAACTTCTGCAAACTGCGATGCTCTCACCGCCCCGCCACTACCTCTTATGTCGTATGAAACAACCCAAAGTTCCTCCTCTGGTACGACCCTCCCCTTTCCCGAAACCTCGAGCGAGCGGATGGAGGACCAGAGGAGGTCTCCACAAAGCAAGAATATAGTTCAATCAACTGGCCCAAAATGGTAGTTGCACAAAACTTTGACTGTGTCGCCATCGAGGGAGTGAGAGGGGAGTCCTTTCCTCCAGCGATAGGACCCTCCTCCTTCTAGCGACCATATATGATCCCCTGAAGTTTTCTCAGCATACGAGATGCCCTGTTTCTCGAGTTCCGGCGATTGTGGTCTTCAATTTGCCCATTGCTTTTCTCGCTTTGATGGTGCCTGCTGGGTGAGGAATCGTTAACTCTTCTACCCTCACGTTATCCCATGCAGCCCCTCTAGCTCTACCCTTGCTACCACCCCATAAAGCTCTATTTTCTCGAGTTCCTCGGACACAAAAACGAAGGCGCTATAGTGAAGGAGGGAATATGGTAAAGAGCAGTGAAGAGTTGGAGGAGGTCAGGCGGAGGGTATGAACCCTGTATTCTTCACGACCATCGTACCAGGAACGGGTGGTTACGGGTCCAAGCGCGTGTACGCTGATGAACCGTCCCACTCTTTTTGTCGATGTGTGGTCCACTTTCCTGTGGAATCACTTTGAATTGTGGCCAGTGTGCTGGCTTGGATAGCCATAAGTAAGAAGGCCCACAAATAGTCGGGAGTATTGGCTTATCGCGATGCCTACGATCAGAGTAAATCTTCAGTAAGCGTTTCTTTGGTATGCGGATTTCAAGGTTAATGGTACTCTTCAAGTTGGAAGGTATTTCAAAGGTGGGTTGGGGCTCATTTAATTGGATTTCGGAGCTGATAGGGTCAAACACGAATTTTCTTGGGGACTTCTTCATTCCAGGTGAATGGCCTCAAACGAGCTAGCCCTTTTGTGGAAAAAAAACCTGAAGTTTTCATGTCGCAGAACAGGGCAGTGATCCAATTTCATTCTTTCCAGGCTCGAGTCAGACTGTGGCGATTACGAAAGCGTGGTTATGGTGAAGCTAACCGACGAGATTGTTGCGGCCCTTATGCAAGCTCAAGAAAAGGGCTTCAGATTCGGGTTCATATTGATGAGCAGGTCGGCATTTTATGGCAGATCTTCAATTAGCCTTCGCAACTTATCCAGAAGTTAAATTGTAAAATTCAAACAGCTGAAATTCCGGCGCTGCATGTGGCGCCTCACGAACTCATAGGCTCACACTAGAGCCTATAAACTGGATTTACTTAGTATGATGGTTATTTCCAGGGTGGTAAATGGGAACTCGGCGATCCAGCCAATGGAGGACGAGTTTTCCGTTATCAACAGCAAGCCTTACCAGGTCCACCTACCGATGCTGTCGTCCATGATCCAAGGACCGGAACACATCGAGCCGTCGCTGCTTTTCGTAGTAAATATCAGGTGATTTTCATGGTTTTTACTGTTGCTGAAGCATTTTATTGTTTTTTACTATCCTGATTTCAAATGTCGCCTCATTGTAGAGTTGTTGGGGAAGCATCTTGCTTAGAGATGTGTTTACCTTCGGCAGGTATTGCAGGATAAACCTTGCTGTTGAAATTGATTGGTTTCTATCTCTGAGGCTATTTGTGTTATTTCTGGCGAATTATGTGATGCTGAGAGTTTACAAAGGAGAGTACGATGGAATTTCGGCTAAAGAGTCATAAATCAGTGAGGTAGAAGGGAGGGCTTGCGTCTTATGAGCTTTTGTGACTGGCCACTGCTAAGAATCTACCAAGGGATGCCTTTCTCCTACCCGATTTGATACATGTTTGCATTTTCCACTGCGTCAACGGGAGTCGTTGTTGTTTTATCATGATCAGCTACGGTCACAGAGAATTCATCCGAAGCGGGAACTTAAGCTGCTGTTCGTTTTAGAGGAGTGGTTCCCCTTGCTAGTTCATATCGGTCTCTGGTAAGATCTGTAAACTCTTGTGAGACTGCAAGGTGGCACAGATGAGCCACGTTAGTGGCAAGACTTTACAGCTCCTTACAAGGTGACCAGTACGAACATCGCTAAATACAATTAGTTGCCCCACCAAGCCGAACTGCGTCGAATTTGTTCTGTAAGTTACGAAAGGCTCAAGAAGTGGAAAAGAAGTCTCTTACTTGAACCTTTCTATGAGCGCTGATCCAGCCTACGAATCGCTCCTCATTTGGTTTCTCTTCAAGCGTGGGATTGTGTCGCGAATCAAACAAATCATACTGAATTCATTCAAAAATGCTTTGTTCGACTGAATGCTGTTGTGTTCGTTTTATTAATCGATTTTTCCTTTTAGTGAAATTCGTTTGTGTGAGTTAGTGACGTAGTGAATGTGGAGTAATGGTTTGATATTTTTCACTATTGGCATTGAATTTATGGGGGCTACATTTGATGCGAACCTCGAAGCGAGTATTCAAAGTTGTTAACCACCTTGGGCGTCTGTTTGTTTCAGAGTTTTGCCTTTTTTGTTTTCCTTATGATGGATTGAGTTTTATAAGAATGCGCCGAATTTGGTCTGCTATATATTATTTATTATATAGTTATATAAGAGGTCTTATAAGAGAGGTGAAGATGACCTCAAAAGGGAAATTTGGACGGCAAACCAATACTGGCATCTCAGAATTGCTTGGCAAAGCTTCACACTGGTAGCATGGACCACCATACGCTGTCTTTTTTGAATATTCAAATGTTGCTCTAACAAGAGAACATGCAGTCGCGTAAAAGCTTGGGCATAAGGCTTGCAAGCCACTCCGCTTTCCACCCTCAGCCTCAATCATGCTCTCCGGGCGTGAAGTTAGGGATACCTGTACACTTGCTGGCCCTTGCGCTTAATTGTACGCGCAGTTTTTTTTTCACGCGGATACTGTGTCCCGTTTGTTATCTCATACTTATAATACAATAGATTCATCTGGTATAATAAGAACGTTACGCATATGGACCCCAATCCCCTCCCCGCTCCTTCCATGTCATTGTGAAAGCCAACCTTAGCTTCCAATTCCGCTGCGATCTCAAGTGGATCTCGAATGTGGGATTGACTTACGCGGAGGATCTTATTTTGGGCGATGTTTTTCGCCCAAGTCTTCCGGATCGTTGTGCAAGTGCTGTTTCGCCTTTGCTGACTGACGCACTGCAGTGCGTTTTTAAGCAGGCTTCACAGCGATGAGCGACTAGCACGAGTGGTATGATCCGAGATTACGGGCTGATATGAAGTTTTTGGAATGTTATTGGATTCCCTCGTGATTTTTTGCATCTCTATACTAAACAGTTCCGGTAGTGAGAAAGTTTAGCGAGTAACATATAAGCGATTTGTGAAATAAATAGGTTCTCATTACCATGGCTGTTGAATGCATTTGGGACTCAAAGTTTGCGCTTTTACATTAACTTTGGTGTTGCTGGGAACAAAAAAAGTCCTGTTAATGGGGAATTTCGGGGAATACGACTCCACCGCCCTCGAATTTTCTCCCTCTGGGTCGAGCTCACCCCTCCCATCTCCCATCTTAACTTCCGCCTTCCTGAATTCTCGCAACTTCCTTTGACCGTTCCCGAACTTTTTTTGAGAAACTGCGGGGACAGGGTATAGTGCGCTCGTGAAACCGAGAAAAGTCAACAATCCAAAACACTTTCTCCAAGGCGAAAGCGACCCTCCTCCCCAACTCGCTGGTGATTTCCAACGTTCCCTTGTTGAGATCATGAAACGTGTGGACGTGATGGGGGAACGTTTGTTCAAACAGGCACACGCCATTTGTTTGATCATACGTTTATCAAGACCATCATGTCATGCTCATAACAAAATATTCGAATTGATCAGAATATCTGTCATAAGTTTTTATGAAAGTGTTCCATCATCACATTGATGGTGACACTGCTGAACTCGTTGTAATCGTTTAGTTTCGTTCGGGAACGGGGACTAGGATAATCGTCTAATGGTGTATGACGAATGTGATAGGTTTTTCACTAAGGGCTAAATCTATGGTAGTTTATCGAAGATCTCGTTGCGATCCAACACTTCGCTTTGATGGTCAAGGTTTTGAGGGTGTAGAAAAAACGAAGGAGCCAACGTGTCTCCTGGCGACTCTTTATGTTGTTTCAAGCCGGTTCCCATTCGTTTAAATTTCGAATGCGACAATACAAACCGAAAAACCGGCGCTGCTTCTGAGAATTCGTGATCAGAGCCTTGTAGGTAGGGGAAGAGAGCAGTTTGTGACGTCAGCCTCAGGGAAATAAGAAATAAGAGAGTCCAAATAAAAAGACAAAAGGAAGTGAATTGCTCCCCATGGATTTTATCCGTGGTTGGTGGATAGCGGCACGTCTTCTACTTCGCACTTAGCTCTAGTAGCATACTGAGTGCGAATTGTTGGCTTTATACAATGACTGTGTGGGGGCGCAGCCGAAGTGTACAAGTCAGCTGTTTTTACCGTCCGAGAAAGACGTGGTCCGAATTGTGGGTAGTGTGTCCCCGGGCGGCGGGGTGAGAAGGTGCACTGGCCTAAGCGGGAGCCGATTTGGGATTTGAAACCGCCGAGGGGCCGTGGCAAGAGTGCCAATGCCACTGCACGCGCTCAGCCTTCAACAAACAACACAATAGGACTGATAGGAATGGAACGTGAGAGGATGGTGGAAGCTGGTGTAAGCGGGATATTAGTCGCTAACGGGAAGTATAGTTTTGCTTTCTTTGCTGGTTAAGACGGCTGTTTTGAATTCTAGCAGCGATCATAGTTGGTTTTTCTCGTTGTCCTTAATAATACGAAAACTAAGCGGAGCGCCCGTCCTGGAATGAGATAGAATGCTCGAAGAAGGAGAGATGCGTGTATGAGAACTGGAGCAGACGAAGTGCGTCGTGGGACGATCTCATGTCTAGACTGTGGTTCCGAGATCTTGTTTGTTCGTCATTCGTTTTTCCGTTGCCTAGGTGCCTTGGTCCATGGCAGCCATCGATCATTTTTGCTGGGGTAACAATATGAGATGAGAGGTCATCCCAACTTGTGTGGATTATTCACTCTGCGCATTGAATCAAGGTAATAATCTTATCGATTAGATCAAGGTAATAATTTACGCGACGGTACCGGAGCCTGTCCTCGCCATCTGCCAAATATATTATAATTGACGGCCGGAAGTGCAGTTGAGCTGTTTCCGTGGCGTTATATCTGCACGGGTAAGCAAGTTCTTGCTTGTTATTATTATGTTGGGACTAGGTCATACATCATCGTGGGCTGGTGTCCTATCTGGGGTGCCGCCGAGGCCTGGTACCGCGTGAGTCTGTGTTTTCAGAAGTACTGATTTCGCCTGAATGTGTGGATGATAAGTGCTGGTGACGGAACTTTGTGGTCTGCGCCTAGTAACCTTACCCTCTAGCTAATCCCACGTTGTTCGAGAGCGCTGGTGGTCCTCATATAGGTGGCATTTCTGACGCTTTACTCAAGGTATGACCACGACATCAAAACTGAACACCACACATCAAAACTCGAAGGCTAGTTTGCCACGATTCAGTTTTTACCCCGTGTTCCGTTTTCTTTTCACTGTCAGAGGGTATTAGCAGCTCGAATAATTGATCAGTGAGCCAGATGCGGCAGGAATTTCGTTGCATAAAATGAGCAGGGCGAGAGAAGTCGTACAGTAAGTTGACGAGACCTGAGAGGTTCTCTACAATTTTTTTGCTTTTTTTTTCTTTCCTGAATAGTCATTTATAGTACTACGTTGTACTAAAGGTTCATAACTAAACTCGTACAGCGAGGTTGCCAAGTCCTAAAGGTCCTTTACGATTTCTTCTTGCTTTTTTTCCCCATAGAGAGTCATTTAGCTACTATAGTTCATAAGTGAAGGCCATTATTCATTCACATGCAATCGCTGAGACTGACTTTGAAAGTTTCAATCATTTTCTTCCCATTCGAGTTATTTAAGGTCTATATTGAACCTCTAAAAGGTTGCAAAGACTGTGTCTATCCTTAAGTAGGGTTTCTGATATCAATTACTACTTTTTTTCTTCTGTCTCGCTTTTTAGAAAGTCCTCGAACCTCTTCAGCTCCTTGTTCATATCCTCTGAAATTTTTTGGAACGGAAATTGTTCAGTGGAGACCTCTCAGTGAAATTTCACAAAGTTAATGAAGTTCTGCATTCCTTTACGGTCATTGATTGAGCGCTTCTCATTAATTTCGCGCCTGACGATTGAAGGTATCGCAGTGGGTGGTCATGGTGGGTTGAAGAAGAGATGATTGAGAGAGTAGATGGAAAACGATGTGATGTGGTGCTGGAAATTGATAGTGTGCGCGATCGCCTTCTCCAAACGAGGAAACATTCGAAGGTGATCGCTATCTAGCCGTTGGCCGAACCTGACTCGGCCGCCCCGTGTATGCTATGCAAAGCCGTAACGTCGACGAATTTATGTTCCTTGGCGTCGGAAAAGAAACTAAGGCGAGAGAGTTACGATAACTCCCCAAACAGTCAGATGCTTTCTGCTTTAGAATCAGAGCACACCGTACCT